ATGTATCCACTATCTTAGCTTGGGCTTCCTTTGCGTTTAAGCCAGACTGATGAAGGAAAAGAAGACTGTGCCTCAGGTGCCCTGTCGGGTTGAAACTTGGGCGGCATTTTGGAATCCAAATGCAAGCTGGGTGAGTGTGAGGTAGTGATGTGAAAGAGTCTCTTGCGTGCTTCATGCACACCCCACGATAAGTCATAAACATACATGCAAGGCTAATATGGTGCGATCAAACGCGGGGAACTTTCCGGTCAACCTAATAAAAGGCGTCGTTCGGCAACTATGTATGAGATGCAACATATGACAAGGACCATTAATAAAACAGCAAACAATGGTGATAATTTTCAAGCAAAATTAGTGGAAAAAAATTCCAAAGTTATTGTGTCAGGCCCCAGACGTGCAATCAGTGGATGGTGACGGGGAAATTAAACACCGGACGCTACTCTTCTGATAGAAGTCATCCCCTAATCGTGAAAACATGCAAACACAAAAAACAAATAAACTGCTGAACTAAATAAAAAATGAATTTTCAGGCGGCAGTATATCGATCGTCACGGCGGTCGCAACGTTGCGACCGCTTTACTGGAAAAAAGGTCATTGGAGCGCAGTTGCTGGCCCAGCTACCGTCTAGGGTCTTTTCGAATGGTTACTCTCTTTTAGATGCGGAGCTTTCGAGGAATGGTAAGCAGCATGCAACGGCAATGTTCCTACTGTTGCGTTTTCTACCTAGTTGCAACCTGAATAATTCCCCGTTCGTGAAATATTTCGGATGGGTTTCGGATAGGCTAGGGGTAAATGCAAGCGGGTTTTTATGCTTCACACGAGGATTACTTATTTCAAACGCAATTTCATCAGGAACAAAACCCTCTTCAAAGCGCCCTATCTTTTCTCTTTCCAACTAACTTTACAGTTTTCCTGAAGACAAGCTAATTCCAGATATTTCAGATGGGTTACCAACACGCTACCTCTGAGCCACTCAAAAGTTGGACTCCTTCCGTGCCATCATGAGGATACTCATTCAAGAACTCCAATATGCCTTCAAAACACATATCCCCGCTCAAATGAGTAAAGAAGAGCTTGGTTATCATCGATCGATTTGGTCCGAGTGTGCGCCGTGCATTACGCTTCTACGCAGAGGTGGTGGAAAGGTGTAAATTCTGATTTTAGGTGATTTTTGTCCATGCAAGCAGATGTTTGTTTAGGGTTTGGAAAGGACAATACGCACGAATCTGTTTGAGACGTATTATTTAGTCATCTACGCACTTACGAGTTCATGCTAGCTGTTGATATTGCTAATCAATTTTATTATTTTGTAGTCTTCCTTACATCCGGGTCTTCTGCAGCTTTCCGTTCGCTCCATCAAACTTAGCAATGACACTTTTGTGCTGTTTATGCTCGCCGACCCTGCGTTTGCGACCCTCCCCACGTTCCCTGCGGCCAAGTACGATCCCCTTTCTGGGGATTTCGCATGAAAAGAAGGCTGATGAACGGAGCGCTTGAAATCTGTCGAGAATACACTCATGAAAATTTTCACATTTTTTTCATCACGGCTTTCATAGCTCTACTCCTTCTATCAACTGAAACGTCATAGCGTTGTCCGGTGCTGACTGACCCTTGAGATTACGACCCCCCCTCCCCAGCGGCCAAGTACGACCCCCCTATGGGTTTCGCACAACGATGCTGTACCCTTGGAGGAGGTCTTTCAGATCAAGAGTGCCGGTTTCCAGGTAGCTGTCTATGGGTGACTCCATGCAAGGAGTTTTTGGAGGTGGCGTGGATTTAGCAGGCCTTCTC